AGAACCCCTGGTGTGTAGACCACTAAGATGGCGCAAAGGTGGGCAACACAGGTGCCGAAAGCCTTGAGCTGCTCTTCCTTGGATGCCAGGCTTAAAACAGTCCTCAGGATCTTGACATACGATAGGGAGATGAACATCAGATCCAGCCCCACAATGAAGATAGCTACGATGATCCCATAGATGTTATTGATCGTAGTGCTGGCACAAGCCAGCTTTGCCACAGCCATGTGATCGCAGGAGCAATGGGAGATGATGTGGGACTGGCAGAAGGGCAGCCTCCTGACGAGGAAGGGCAGAGGCACCATGAACAGAACAGCCCGGGCCAAAGCCATCAGCCCGATCTTTGCTATCACTGAATTGGTCAGGATGGTGGCGTACCGCAGGGGGTTGCAGATGGCCACGTACCTGTCGAAGGCCATGGCCAGCAGCACAGCAGATTCCAGGATGGACAACGAGTGAAAAAAAAACATCTGCGCCAGGCAGCCGTTAAAGCTGATCTCCCTGGAATTAAACCAGAAGATGCTCAGTATTTTCGGCACGGTGGTTGTGGATAAAACCAGGTCGATGACGGCCAGCATGGTGAGGAAATAGAACATGGGCTTGTGCAGGGAGGGCTCTGTCTTGATAACATACAAGAGGGTGCAGTTTCCTAGAAGGATCAGGGTGAACACTGAGCAGAAGGGGATGGAGATCCAGAGGTGCAGAGATTCCAGCCCCGGGATGCCTGTCAGGAAGAACACGGATGGATCAGAGCCTGTGCTGTTGGAACCTGACAGGTTGTCTTGTTGTGGCATCTTTTGCAAGTCTCACATCAATGTCTTTCCTTTCAATAAAACATAACACATGAAATGAACAGACCCTGTAAATTAAATACATGCTAGGGGCCAGTCTCAGCTCTGGAAGAAGTGGATTGACCTCTTTCTGAGTTCATCAGTCATGTTGCAATAACACTAATCATACAAACCCTTATATTTTTCTGTGCAAAATAATTTAAAGTTCTTAGAATGTCATTACAAGTCACGAGTAATGAACCTCACTTGGTTACAAGTATTTTACCTGGAGTACTTTGGTACTAGGAGATGCACATTGTTTAGTGTGCATTCTCCCGTGAAGTACCTAGTATATCTGGCCGCATGGAACATGCTTTCAGTCTAGAAATACCTGGCATGTTAAGCTGCATGTAGCAAGATGTGCCTGGTACATTCAGCAGCACATTCTGGGTATTCAGCCTGGATGTACGCAGTACATTGGGAACATGCATGAGTAGTGCTATTTTGATCTCAGCTTCAGAACCTGAGCCTTAACATCTACACAGCTATTCTTAGCGCGGTATCTCGAGAAGCACAAGCCTGCATCTGTCAACCCGAGCTGTGAGACTAACTGCCGCTCGCTGCGTAGACATAGCCAAAGAACCTATGA